TCTTAATGGGCATTACTTTATTTTTCACGGTTTTTGGGGACTCCACCCATAAATAATTTTGACCCAAATTATATGTTATTTAGGTCCTTAAGTTTAATATTATTATTTGTTACGTCACCAAATAATAATATTACCGGGTGTCCACATTTAATTATTCCACAATTCAAATTAAGTTCCTTAGCCAATATACAAAATTTGATCACTTAATTTGGCTAAACAATATAATGACCCAATGTATTAATTACACATATTTAATCCCAAATAGATCCAACAATCTCCCACTGGATTAAATATGTGTCCGGATAATATATTACCTTATGAGCTCAAGATATGGTCATTATTACAGAACTTAAACAATCTGGTCCATTAATCACAACAATATAGGACTAAAGCAGTTTTCGCTGAATAGATACAGCTAAACTATCATTAATCACATATATCACCATAATTAAATGACATAGATCAAATTGTGGAACGTGTGGCATGAAAATTACATGAATGTGATCAGCACATGTCAATTTTCAACTAGTCCAAACTTAATGAGATCGTTAAGTACCATAATATAATGTACAAAGTGTCATGAACCAAAACTTTATTTCTGATCAGAATAAGTACTTTATATATCATCGAATAAAAATGACAAAATATGTAGCAAATGCTCCCACTAGAGTGAAACTTCCTGAATATGTAACACACCCATATGAGCAGTATGCTCGTAAAATACCATAGGTGTTACACCTTTAGTTAGGGGATCTGCTAACATAGATTTTGTTCCTAAGTGTTCGATGGAAATATGACCACTTTGTACCCTCTCCTTCAAAGCTAGGAACTTAATGTCAATATGCTTTGACTTAGACGAGCTCCTATTGTTGTTGGAGTACAGAACAGCTGATTTATTGTCACAATAGATCTTGATAGGTCTTTCAACCTCTGGAATAATTCGCAGCCTTGTGACAAAGTTCTTTAACCATATTCCCTGGTTTGATGCCTCAAAACACGCCACAAACTCAGCTTCCATAGTGGAAGTGGTAACAAGTGTTTGTTTAGCACTACGCCAGGAAATGGCACCACCGGCCAACATAAATAAGTACCCAGAAGTAGATTTCCTACTGTCTTGGCACCCCGCAAAATCGGAGTCAGAATATCCAACGATCTCCAAATGGTCTGATCTCCGATATGTGAGCATATAATCCTTAGTTCTCTTTAGATATCTCATCACCCTTTTTGCTGCTTTCCAGTGATCCATTCTAGGATTACTAAGGTATCTACCTAACACACCAACTATGTACGCAATATCCGGACGCGTACATACTTGAGCATACATTAGGCTCCCAACTGCCGATGCATAAGGGACCTTTTGCATTTCCTGGATTTCCAAATTTCCCTTTGGGCATTGACTTAGGCTAAATTTATCACCTTTAGCCACAGGGGTATTTCCTGGTTTACTGTT